CCAAAAGACTCCAGTTGGAGTTTTTTAAAAGACTTTAGGCATATGAATCTTTCTCCAAGTTAGTAGAAAACTTTTCAAGCACTATGAAACAGTTTTTTTTCTTCATTTGTTCATGAAAGTCATTTCTCTGTTTCACACAAGGTATCTAGAGTCATGCAATTTTTATCTAGTTGAGTTGGTGTTTATTATTTGGGTTCGTTACATTTACCTTTCTCAGGTTCTGTCAGTTTCGCAAATCCTTTGGCCATTTTTTCGGCCGAATCCCCCACACCTGTTTCAAATAAATCATTTGAAAGATTATACATAAATTATCGAATTCCAAATATTCCTAAAAAGGCAGTTATGAACTCCTAGTATAAAAAAAGAATTTTTTTTACATGTTTCAACATATAAAATCTTTGTTGTAGGTAAGAGTTGTAGGTGTTTGGTTTTAATGATCTCTGGTATAAATCTTGCAGGAGTTGGTGCAACCTCAAATGCAATAAGGAAAAACAGAGTTCTGGGTTTAAGCTCAGTGAAGAGGACATGGAACTGATCTATAACTTTATTGTTGACTTTTACCCTTCATGTATGTGGAACTTTTTGTTGACTTTTTTCCATATGTATTCTCTCAATTTTGTTCTTTTCGTGAGGTGTTCAAATAGTAAGATTGTTTATTTTGTGATCTTTGAGTCTCTGACTAGCATTTCTCCTCTTTTAATGGGATGTGAATACTTTATGAATGCACATATTTAGATGTGCATTTTAAAAAATGTGTACATCTCCCTATTGACTTCTTAACAAGACACACAATGAGTCAATACACTGACAGATACCCTCTATGAACCCTAAGGCAAAGGCTATAAATATGTGTGAGAACAAGAAAAATGGGCATATAAAAACACAGAAAATTACTCTAGAGTACCCTTGATTTTTCTGTAATAGCTCCCGGATCTCATATTATTAAAAATATACTCTTTAGTATTCTTGATTTTTTGATAAAAGCTCCCAGGTTCTACATTATTCGAAATATACTCTGTGTGGATCCTTAAAATTTGTGGTAATGTACTGTGAGGTTACATTTTATCTATTTAGCCGTTAGGAATGGAAGTTCTTGTTACTTTGATAAATACTACTATCTCTGTTCCAGAGTATTTATCCAGTTTTGACTTTTTTTAGTCAACCATTTTCGATTGAAAAATCTTATATAATAAACCTAATAAAACTATTTTTGTATTAATATCTAATATCATTTTTATTTAACTTAGGGTTGAAGTTTATTAATTTTGACCGAAAAAATCAAAAGTAGACAAATATTCCAGGACGGAGGGAGTAAATTTTACCTTTATAATCATTATTTTATTATATTTAAATAAAATCCTTCAATTTGTCAAAGTTCGAAACTTTCAATCATAACATCGAATTGGACAGAATGAGTATAATATCACAAATTTTAAGGATCCTAAAGTATATATATTTTGAATAATGTGGAATCGAGAGTTTCTACCAAAAAAAATTGAAGGCACTTCGGGGTATATTTCAGATAATGTGAGACTTGAGAGTTATTATCAGGCGTAAATTTCAGTAATGGTACCTGAACTTTCAATGAAATTTCGAAGTGGTACCTAAACTTCAAATCCTTTCACAAAAATCCCTGAACTTACATAATCTTTTCACTAAAAGTCTATTTACCCGTTTCCAGATTAACTTCTAGTCATTTGGGCCAAATTAGAATTTTATATATTTTAAAAACCCCAATTTGACCCCATTTCTTTTTTTGACCAACGTCGTTCTCTTCGTCTTGGGATGAGAATCAAGAATATCCAAATCATTTTTTCCAATTTTGCCTGCAACTCCTTGAATTTGAATTTTTCCACTCGAAGAAATCCTAAAATCCAAAATTGAGAGTTTTTTCCAATTGCCATCAAATCTTGCAATTGAGGGGTCCTTGGGGGTCGCCGAGATGCCAGGAACACTTTGGAGGAGATGCACAACGTCAATTTTGCCAGAGGTGACCGGAAAATGCTCCAACCCGCCGGAAAACGCCGCCTCCTAGAGGCCGAAATCCGACAGGTGCAGGGAGAGGATGACGGCGGCGGCAGTGGCGACATGTGAGGAGAAAAGGGGCGGCAGCGGCAGAGTCGTGGTGCGACGACGGTGGGGAAGCGTACAGGAGTGGGAGCGGAAGAAAAGAAAAAAAGAAATGGGGTCAAATTGAAAATTTTAAAATATATAAAATTCTAATTTGGCCCAAATGACTAGAAGTTAACCTGGAAACGGGTAAATAGACTTTTAGTGAAAGGATTATGTAAGTTCAGGGATTTTTGTAAAATGATTTGAAGTTTAGGTACCACTTCGAAATTTCAGTGAAAGTTCAGGTACCATTACTGAAATTTACCCTTATTATCAGAGGTATCCGAAAGTAACTTTTGGTATAAAAAAAATGTATTCTCTACCATTCACCAATCATTATGGGTCGAATCACATGCTAGTTCAACCCCAATATATTCTGGTTAAGATATATAACCAGAATGAATGACGTGATATCTTTGTTTGAGACTAGATTTGTACCCGTGCGTTGCACGGGGAGAATTTTTTATTACATTTGTCACTTATTGAATAATGTTGGAAATTCCAAAGACAAAGATAAAACTTTTACAAAATCGAATATTGATAATTAGAAAATGGACTACATGATATAAAAACATCACAAATAACACGTGTATATGTAAGAAAAAAAATTGGTTGTTACAACATGTTTCAAATATTTTGGAACACTTCCTTTAATACAACAGTGGTAGTAAAATATTTTCCAGTATAAATACTGTATACAAATTATAATATGTACTAATTAATGAATATATGTATATCATTCAATACAGTATGTGTACATATTGTAATTAAAATACTTTCATTATTTTATTTGTTGTTGTCGGTTATGTGACCGTTAGTTGAACGAAATACATTCGAGATGCCGAAGGAGTTAAGAAGTTGTCTCAATGTTGGCTTTGTTTTACCGACTTGAACTGCGACCAAAAGAACATTCAAAGATTAACGATAGACTATTGTACCAAAACTCCTCCAAACACAATATAGTAAGTCATAATTTTAAAAGATAAGTGTCTAACAATCTGTTAAATCACTTAAAGAAGAATAGTCATAGTCTTGTTACTGTGTCTTGATTTGTTGTACAAATCTTTTTTAGATTTCTTCTTTCTTGGAAATACATTATAAACATACGAAGCATAAATTAAAATTGAGTCTACAAAGATTCCATATAATTAGAATTTATTGATGTCTTATTAATTTATAATAGCAAAAGGCTATGTTGATCACCATTGTATCCCCTACTTGTTTTATGCAATTGGCAAAGTGGTCGGAAATCAACATCTTCCATTGGATTATCTTGGGTAAATTTAGATTTTGTGAGATTTTACTTTGCAATGTAGTGAGCATTTTCTGTTCAAAAAATAATAATAACATAAGTAGTCTATATATAATATACATATATGTATATATTATTGAAAATTGTACAATCAATTGATTAAGTGAATATATCATACACCCTATATCTATAAATATATGAAGCTAGAAATATATTAGACTAAGAATAGCTAAGAGCGTTGTTATTATCATTGACCTTAGATTAAAAATAATTTAAAAGCACTATCGAAATAATGAATAATGAATATCTGAATTGAATAACATGTATTGATATAAACTAAACAATATCAAAATCATGAATGATGAATAATTGAATTGAACATTATGTGCATGATATCAAATGATTTGATTATGAATTGAGATTCAATTTATATGGATGTTTGACGCATTAGATATTCTTACTCAGCTTCAACGCTGAGTGTGTAGTATGTTTTATTTGCTAAAGTAAATCAGAAAGAACAATATGACGTGATCCTGGAGGCAGACGGATGCGAGATTGTCGAAATGGATGTGATGGTTTTAAATTGAAGAACATAAATAAATTATGTTTGTGATTATGATTTGTTAAGCTTCCGCAATATTGAAAACTCCGTACTTTTATGTTATGAAAATATTATTGTGATAAATAAAAGTGTTTGAAATGTTTTAAATTTTACGATCACCAAGTTTATACTTTAGTCCGAAAGGGGTTGCAGACCTGGACGGATTAGGGTGTTACATTGTCACCCCGATGACTGCAAGGCCGAGTTAGGACTCGTCTCCTCATTTTTCCAATCCAAAGTTGTTTTGTAACATTGTGGGTGGTTTACACTATCTTGCAGTCACTCGTCCTGATATTTAATATGTCGTGAACCATGTCTTTCAAACCATGCAGTCCCTCAGAAAAAGACTACTTAGCCTTGAAACATATCCTTTGCTATTTAAAGGGTACTCCCTCTCAAGGCCTTCTTTTTTTTTTAAAAAAAAGGCTCTTTTGATCTTGCAGTCTATTCAGACTCTGACTTAGTAAATGACAAGGATGAACATCGCTCTACCACTTGTTACCTTTTGATGCTTGGGCCAAATCTCATCTCCTGGTGTACAAAGAAGCAAACTAGTGTCTTGAGGTCATCTACTGAGGCTGAGTATCGCACTATGGCCGTGGGGGTGGCAAAGGCAATGTGGTTAGGTTATATCATGGATGCACTTCACATTCCTCCTTCACGACCAAGTATTTTCTGTGATAATGAGTCCACCATCTGCGTCACGAAGAATACTGTTTTACATGATTGTATGAAGCATATGGGCTGTGACTGTCACTTTGTTCATGATGAAGTAATGGCTGGCACAATGACAACACATCATATTTCGTCTTCTGAACAGCCTGCGGACATTCTCACAAAACTGTTTCCGCCGACTCCGTTCCATTACTTATGCTCCAAGCTGCCCCTCTTATCCGCTGATAAGCTTGCGAGGGAATAATAGGAAGGATCCTAATAGTATTTTGTTTCCTTATTCTTGTATTACCATAATTACATTCCTACCTTATTTAGGATTATCTATGTTGTACTATAAATACTCCTTGAGGCTTCATTATTCAATGAGATCAATATTTTGTCAAATTGTATCCCGGATTATGGAGCTCCCTAAGCAAAACACTACGGATGGTCTTACTAAATAAATTGTGCGTGGCTAGGGTAAGAAGAACACTAATCAATCTTTTTGATAGAATTTGATATTAATCAATCTAATTAAACGATAAAATATTCACTCATATATCTAGAGAGTATAGAAGGATTCTAATTTAAGCTAAAATAGGACTATGAAATAAAGGGGGAAAATTTAATACGGCAATAACATAATATGCACACTATAATGATATGGAAACTAATAATACTTTTTTATAATATTTCTAGCTATTATTCTCCCGCAGGCTGATCATCGAAAACGAGAAACAACTTGGAATACAAGTATTGAAACAGAGCCGGTGGAAGCGCTTTCGCGAGAATATCAGCTAGAAGGAGAGAAGTAAATCTTCATTGAATGGTGAACGAGCTTGAAAGTGCATTGTTGACTTTTGTTTTCCAGCGAAAGGTTTGGCGATTGGAGCGAAGACAAGAAGTTTTTTTCTCCATCTAGACCTTTTTCTCTACTTCACTATCGCTTTCCATTCTCTCGAAGCGTAGAAGAAAAACAAACAAATGTTACATTCCTTGGAGCACAAGTATTGAAACAGAACGGGTAGAAGCACTTTTGTAGAATATCGACTAGAAACACAAAGGTAGATCTTCATTCCATGAGCTTGAAAGTGCGTTGTTGACTTTTGCTTTCAGACGAGAGGTTTAGCATTCGGAGCGAGTACAATGAGTTTCTTTTTCTCCATCTAAGCCATTTTCTATGCTTAACAGTTGTTTTCTATTCTATTGAACGGTAGAAGACAGAAAAACAATTGCAGCTTTCCATGGAGAGTTCTTTGGTCACACATAATTTTTTTTTGAAGAGAGAAAGATAAAAGACGAGCTGTGAAAGTTCTTTTTGGGGAAAAATTTCCGAGGGCACTTCAGTCAAATAGAGCTCAAGACCTCCCGCTGCGGCGCCAAATATAAACCGCCGGCACTGTTAAGCTCAACAAGATAACGACCGCTGCAACTGAACTCCCTCCCTCCCTCTCTCTCTCTCTCTCTAACGATGAAGGCCAAGAAAATGTCGCCGCCGATTCTTGAAGCTTGCAAGAAGACGAAGAAGACGCCCAAGTTCTTCGGCCTCCACACATTCGCCGAGCCTGGTTTTCATGGTTTTCCAGCCGGCGGCCCGTTTTCCCTCAACGTCCGCTCGTTCCTTCAACAGTCCTGCGTACTCGAGGACTACGCCGTTGAGGGAATGCCCGTCTGGGTCACCTTTCTCGTCCACGAGACCAAGGGATTTGCCGCTCCTTTCTACGCGATTGAAGAGACCGTCAACAGCTCCGCCCACCAAGTCTGCTACCACTGCCGCTACGCCGGTAACGCCCATTCTGATTTGATTTTTTTAGGGTTTCGCTTTTTTTTTTGTCAAATTTCTGCAATTCTAGGGTTCATGGGGATTTGGGAATTCGATTCAGGTTGGGGACACCATTTAGTGTCGAAAACCAAGTATCATTTTATAATTCCGGCGGATGATGAGTGGAATCAGCCATTGTCGGAAGGCGTCCTTGACGTTCAGACCCATCTTCTCCATGGGGTGATTCACTGCAATGGGTTCGGGCATTTGCTCTGCATCAATGGAATCGAAGGTGGGTCAAAATTTATCTGTGGGAGGGATTTAATGGACCTCTGGGATCGTATCTGCTCCAATCTTCAAGTTCGGTAAGTAAAACAATTATCTGTGTCAGATTATTCACAGTTGGCTATGATGAAATTGAACTATGAGCTTGTTCTTGCCTGATTTATTGAATAATTATTGTTGGGTACACAGAAGTGTTTCAGTTGAGGATCTGTCTAAGAAGCATTCAATGGATCTTAGGCTACTATATGGGGTAGCATATGGCCACTCTTGGTTTGGGAGATGGGGTTACAGATTTGGGCATGGATGCTTTGGGGTGATGGAATATGACTATGAAGGAGCAATACATATCCTCAGTTCTTTAAACCTCGATCGGGTCATTGACGATTTCAGCTCGATAAACGGATCTGAGATTCCCCAAATAGTCCTCTCTTACAGAAACCTAAGCAAAGCCCATCATCTCCTCACCCTTCGGGATCTATTCAGATTCATGATCTGCTTCAAGCCAAAAGCTCCATCTGTATCTTTTCTTCAACCTTGTTCTTCAAAGCCCTTGGTTCGGTCTACCATTCAGTGCAAACCTCCAGGGAAGGACAGATCAACAAGGTGCAGAAAGTTTGCCAATCTTGCAGCGTGTCTGGACAGCAGATGGCCTCTCAGAAGGCTTGAGTTCACAGCTGAAGTGATCGTCGATGCTCTGAGGGAGAAGAAACAAGAAACCAATTCGGGGATGAGTAGGCAAGAGGTACGAGATGCTGCACGGGCCCACATTGGGGATACCGGGCTGATAGATCACGTCCTGAAGTCAATGAACAATGTGATCGTTGGCAGTTATGTGGTTCGCCGTGCCGTGAATAGAGTGACCAGAGTGCTGGAGTACACACTGCATGAGCTCAGGAATGGAGTTGAAGTTCAGGAACGTTCTTCACTTGCTGGAAGTGATGTTCTTGGAGATCTTTACTGTGTCTACTCTAACATGCTAATGGGTTACTCCCAAGAATGCCAAACGATTCTTGACACAAAGCATTTTGTGAAGGAATGGCCATTCAGGGATGAGCTCGATGACTTGCTGAGGTTCATCTGTGTGGTAGTAATCCCAAGCTCAATGGACATGGAAACGGTCATCTCCTGTGAGCACATTGCTGTCCCTCTTCACTCTACCATTGGCGATCTGAAACTGGCCATACAGACTGCAATGAGGGACACCTACTGTGGCATGGAGGGGTTTGTGGTGACCAGCATAAAGGGGCTGGATGGAGTCTCGGATGACGAAGTCATTTTTGGGATCGTTGAGTCCGGGACCCAGATTCTAGTGACAGGGTTCGGGCAGGATACAGAGAGCACGGACTTGAAGTGGACTGTGGAGTGCAAGTGTGGGGCCCGGGACGATGACGGAGAGAGGATGATGTCGTGCGACGCGTGTGAGACATGGCAGCACACTCGCTGCCTCGGGATCAAGGATGACATGGCGGTGCCACCCCTGTTTGTGTGCGAGGCTTGTTGCAGTAAGCTTGCTCCTCCTCCTCCTACTACTACTACCCTCCCAACAGGATACAGTGGAGGGTTTTTGGAGCTCGCCGGGTGCCACGAGACTCCCCCTCTTATCCCTTGGCTCCTTGAGGCTGATACTTCACTCTACTTCTGAAATGGTATGGGGCTTACTTGTACAGTCTTGTGGATAGTCTTTTTCTTCTGTGGGAAGCTTTAACTGCTTGACTGTTGTTGTGTGGAAATAGAATTTTGATGTGGGAAACGAGCATTATTTTGTGGAACTGTAAATCGAATATACAGATTTGATGTGGAACACTCTAATTCTTCACAGAACATTTAAATGGTTTTGAGTGGTGATATTAATGACAGCAGCTAGAGACTTAATTAGAACTGTAATCTGATTCAACTTGAAGCAGTTTGATGAATTGGAGAATAAAGTTCACTCTTAAAACTCAATTTTAGTTCCATTTTTTAAAGGGTTTTGCTCATTATATTGTATCCTTCTAAAATTTACACTATTAGTTAGAAGAGAGAGAGAGAGACATATATAAATGGTACACACTATCATTAAGGCATGAACAATATTGGTACATCTTTCTTTGAAGCCCAAAATTGATCCATTGTTATTAGAATTTCAGATTAATTCGTTCTTGTTGCTTGATTCATGATTTTTTTTTAAAAAAAAGTACTGCGTAAATTAATTGGTTCATTATTAAGAATTTGTACTGATTTGATCTTTGTTGTAATGGTCATCATGTTGTTGAACTCGAAGACAAATGTGTTTTGAAACATCAATAGAAACTTGGGGAAAGAAAGTAGTACCATAGTTGACCAAACATCGAGAGGACTCTGCAGCGAGAGTCAGGGTAAGAAAATAGAGAAAGTAGAAAAAAAGAATGAAAGAAAAGAAAAGGATTAACTTGGGGTAATTTTTGTTAAGGAAACATCTAAAATGACATCAGTTACTTTATACACCAGTTGCTTACACCAATTCATTTGGAATAACTACGATGTCCCACTTATAAAAATGAAGGTTCCAAGTCCCCCTAACCCTCCCCTAAAACCCACCCTTGCCCCCACCTCATTCCCACTCCTGCCGGGGGCGTGAGGGGAGAGTGGGTGAGGTGGGGTGGCTGGGGGCGGGGGGTTAGAGGAAGGGTTAGGGGTCGGAATTATCATTTTACGAACAGGGCACCGTACGTATTCCAAACGAAGTGGTGTAAGTAAATGACACCAGTAGAATTGGTGTCATTTTAGACTTACTCCTTTGGTTAATTTATCTGAAATTGATATTGGTTAGATGACTGAGATGATATAATGTGATATATTTTCTCCTTTCTTAGCCAAATGTAGGGGTGTCTTGCGTTTTGTCTCGTTTCAAACGGTTCGGAATGGTCCGGGCCTCAAACTTATCCCTCTTTGTACGTTAATATTTGGGATGAGGATAAAAGGGGACGAATTTGGATTGTCCTGCTTCGTCATTATCAGAAATTAGATATAAAATAGAAGGGAACAGCAACTCACTTTGACTTGCAAACTAATGAAAAAATGATTTACTTATTAAAAATGTCTAAAAAAGCAAAAACAATAAGAAAATATGAAAAAATGTTACAATATATGGAAAAAGTCAATACTATAAGTTTCATAAAAACTATGAGCCACAAATTTGGGTAGGTCAGGTTAGAACGGTCGTGATTTTTAGATGTTCCATTTCAAGTCTATTTTATTAGAATATTCGAATCTGGATATTTGTATATCAATTTTGGGTAAATACAAATTGTGATACTTTTTTTTAATATCATTATATAATTAAATAAATAAATACAAAGTATATACATATATACGGGACAACGTGACAAGATCAGAAAATATTTATATGTTTTGGTCTTGTTTCATTTTAAACGGTTCGGAATGGGTTTGAGACAAAATTTTGTCATCCCTAATGATGGGTATATCCCTATACCCGACCCGGACAACCGAAAGGGACAGGTCAAAATATGACCGGTCACTTTTATCAATCACCAAATGAGGTTAACTCTTCGATTGGGACGGGTCAAAAGTTGACCGGTCACTTCCACTAAAAAAGTGACCGGTCACATTTTGGGCGATAGCCAAAATGTCGCCTAATGTTACAAAGGACAATCTAGAAGACCAGAGACGGGTTGAGCACAAAGAATGACCGGGTAACCTTTGAGAGAAGTTGACCGGTCATATCATCTCACTTGACAAACATTGGTCCAGTATCTCAGGCATGGTGAACCACGTCAGAGGTCAAGGGGACACCCCGCCGCTCATCCATCACG